CATCCAACTTATAAACAAACTTTAGCTGGAAATTGATTTTACGTTGCCTCTTGAACTTGGTGTAGATTAGTAATAACGTAATTTTTATGTTTTGTCTGTAAAGTAGTAAGTTAGCATTTGGATTAAGAAACCCAATTTATCTGATTGTCTACTGTAAAATCATCCCACTAGTTTTAATGTAAATATATAATTTTTGACCGAAGACAAATTCTTGATATCAAATCTTTAAGGTAAGGACAGAAAATAGTATTTTATTAGTCTTAATCCTTTGTCCTAAAAAAGATAGAAGTATAAATATGTTGCATGTTTACAGAAATCTCCTATTATATGTAGATATGTTTTAATTGTTTGAATCATTAAAACATCTAATTTTTGCTGAATATGCAAATATGTCACTAAATCTGTTTTTTAAAATTTTTCCAGTTTAATGTCTGAATCCAAATTCATAAAGAGTTGGAAAAATGAGATGTCTGAGCTATAGGATTCACAGGGATTTCATATGAAGCCTATTTAATCAGGATAACACTGTTATTAATATTCATAATGTCAGCTGGAACACAAATGACAGACTATGAGGCCTAAAAATTTTACTTGGTGAATTTATTAAAAGTAGCTTAAAAAATTAATGGAATTTAAGTAAAGTTGGTGAGTATGAAAATCTTGTGTTAGCAGAAAAAAAAATCTCTATTAGAACTTTCCTTTAAGACCATTTTGCATTGATGTCTTTTGACAGATTTCATTGGTACTTAAAGAAGAAAGATGCATGAATGGTCATTTAAGAGGATTTAAACACATTGGCACATTAATTTTTACATGAATAATAAGTACTTTCCAAAAGCAATTAACTTACAGTGTACAAGATATGAATTGAAAAATAAGACTCTGACATCAAGGGCAAAGCAAATGTGCTGTACATTTTAAACTTAGTGACAGGACTTTTTAATATTTTGATTTTTTTATTTTTATAGTTTGTGCTGGTTATGACTTAGAATGTGGTTATTTTAATGCACTTAAAAGCAAATTTAAAGGACATTAATTTATTGGTCTCTCTGTCTGCAAAAATATTGGTGTAGTGTTAAGCATTATCTTCTGCCAAGGACCATTTGTATTTTTTGAAAAAGTAAATATTTATTGTGTTAATTGCAATATTTTGTCAGAGAACATGTGCAAATTACAGAAAGGCAATGGGATGATACTGTTTGGGTTTAAGGCTACAATACATATTTTTAACACAGGCTTATTGGTTATAACATAACTTAAGAGTATAATAAATAAGCTTAGTCTGAAAAGTTATGGACCACTTGAGTAGTTAGTATGTAAATACATTTGTCCTGAATTTTAGCCTAAGAAGGTAAAATATTGGGGATGACCTAAAATAGAATGCGTTTTTGTGTAGTACTTGGTACTCTTTACATTTTGAAATATGCCTATAATGAGAGTTATAAGAGTACTCAGGTTTTTGTTTTGATTATTGAAGTTTATTAAAAAATTAGTTTTAGATCATTATGTAAAGTCACAACAGTATTGAATATTTTGTTTTACATTTTCCATACATGTTTTACTACATATAAAAGCATAGTTTAGTTATTATCCATAACAGTCAAGTTACACTTTGCCATTGAGAGAACAGAGGTTTTGACTGGCAGTCTCGTTGGGTACTAGAAGTTTCACTTGCAGTCTGTCATAAGCATTATTTGATTTCATTAAAAGTGTAGAAATTGCCTATATAAAATAGATGTAGTTTGGGACTCAGAGCTTTATTGGACGAGTCATCAATTATCTCAGTGTCCATAAATTATCATAATATAGGTATTAATTTAGATTTTTGTTATAAGTCATGGAATCAAATTGATATATTGGTTATTTTGTCTAGAGGCTTTCTAAAAGTTGGGTTTTGTGGAATTTTTTTGTTTGACTCTGAGTTATTCCTTTAAATGCCCAGGAGAGGGCAGCATTTTACTACATCAGGCTTATAAAAGAATTTGCCCTGCTTAGACTGTCAATGTTTCTTGTAATTACTCCCAGTATATTTGTTGCTTGCTTATGAATTAACTTGCATTTATGGAACTAAATCATTCCAATCATTTAATTACACCTGAGGAGCTGAACTATAATTGCTTGCTTCCAACTAGGATCTGATATGGCTTGAGCAGTATTAATTTGGTGTTTACTTTTCTGAGTGCTAAAAGCATTAAAATGATTGTGCAATGGGATTACATTTTACTAATTGCTGGCATTCATTAGCTGGGTAAATGATGAGGAAGAGTGACTGTATATTGCAGAGGGATAAAATTATGGTTTTAAATAGTATATTACTAAGCACATTAAGGCCTGTAAGACGTGTTTTAAAATACTCCAGAGGTTATTAAAGACTGTATTTTCTACATGTCTTGGTATATGAATCTCTTATTAAAATACTGCAATTATTATTAACCTTTTTGGGCAATATGTAGGGAAATGGCTTCATTGACTGGAACATATTTCTTTGATATTAATAACTTCCTATATTTTCAGCTAATCCAAAAGTAAATGAGAAACTTAGAAAAAGATTGCCAACTCCAAATCAACATATTTAGAGAAAATTGGAAAAGGAGAAGCTTACTACAGCTTTATTTGAGGACTTTTTAAAGAACGCAGGGTTCTATCTGTGAGGTAAATCTAATTTTATTCTCCTTAAAAGCATAAAAAAAAAACCACTCGCATAGTGTTTTATCATGTTTACTACGAAAACAAATAAGAGAGAGGAGTATCGGTAATTCCACAAGTTAGTGATGGTCTTTATGTTTTTTAAAATTAGAGTAGTATTCTTAAATTTCTTTTATAAGTAAAATTTATAAAAGTAATCTATATGAATATATACACAGTAAATTGAAATCAGTAAATTTGAAATGTTTGGTATAAAATTTATGGCAAATAAAGTAAAAATGTATTTTTCTTAAATGCTTAAAATTATAGTTGGAGAATATTTCAGTTAAATAAATTAAATGGTTCTCTACCCAAATCAGCATGAATGTCTAAAAAGCTTAACCTGAACTGTATATACTAAAATATATGTGTGAAGAAAAGAACCTTTTTCTGAGAAAAAGATTTAATTTCGCCTGTTGAAATTCTCAGTTAATTGTCCCATTATAAATGTTTTAGAAAACCATTTATCCTGTAAATTCTCTGTTAAACAAAGGTAAGGTTTAGGTGTGTTCTGATATATTGTTTTCAGTTTATTTATCTAGAGTTGACTTTATTTTAGCTGCAAATCTTGGAGCAAAAACCAGAGACATTGCCAGAGCAAACAAGAATAGAAATACAAATGGAGAACTGGTCAAAAGGTAAGGACTTTTAAGGTATTAATACCAAGCCCCAGGTGTTATGCTAGTTCAAGGCACTGAGTGAAGTGTGTTTGTTCTAACCAATATATTAGACAGAGGTAGACAAGCGCGCACACACACACACACACACAGACACACAACATGCACACAGAGACCCAGGGATTATGAAAGAGATAGAAAGAAAGACACACAGAGAAAAGAGACATACACACAGAGAGAAAGGGACACACACATGCACACAGAGAAGGAGACACAGAAAAGACATTGAGAGAGGGAGAAAAAAAAAGACACACCGGGAAAGAGAAACACGCCTACATACAAAGAGGCAGAGGAGACTGAATGACTGTGACAGAGATGGACGGAGCCACATTCAGAGAAAGAAACACATAGAGAAGGAGATCCTCAGAGAAAGAGACACAGGAAGGAAGATACTTGAAGAGGGAAACACATAGAGGCACAGACACACACCTGGAGGTGCACAGAAAGGGAAGCATACACAGAGACTCAGAGAAAGAGAAATACCACAGTAAGAGAGACTTGGTGGGAAAGAGACAGATGTATAGTGAGGGAGAGAGAAAAAAAAGAGATACACTGAGAGTGATAGAGACACAGGCATGAGGAAGGATACAGAGAAAGAGACGTACATACAGACAAGGGACATATATAGTGAAAGAGACAAGATATGTCTCTTTCAGACATATAGTGAAAAAGACAAGATACATATATACATCTTCTCACAAAGAGAGAGAGAAATGCCAGAATGAAAAAGAAAAACCTACCGGAGAAAGAGACACACGTAAAGTAAGGAGAGAGACTAGAGAGAATGAGGGACAGACATGTATATATGCAGACAGAGAAAGACATAGATCAGAAGACACATACACTGAAAAATAGACTAAGACACATATATGAGACAGAGAAGAAGATACTCACAGTGGAGGAACACAGCCTGAGAGGCAGAGAACAGTCAGAGACAGATACAATTTGAAAGACAGTCTGAAGACAGAGACAGACTGAGAGATGGCCTGAAAAACAAATGGAAGGAAGGAAGGAAGGATGGATGGATGGATGGATGGATGGATGGATGGATGGATGGATAGGTGGATGGGTAGATAGATGGATGGACAGACAGACAGATAAGAGCAGCACACATAAAGGAAGGGGCGAGAGATATTTAAGATCTATTACGGTAAAATGTTGAAAATTTGGAATCCTTGGGAAATGATTCCTTCTGAATGTGATATTACATATATTTGAAAACTTAAACCTTTATGTACATCTTTTAAAATTTCCTCTTATATTATAATTTTAAAAATAGGATTCTTATTAAAACACTGTATGCATCTCTTCCTTTTTTGGTTCCCCTTCCCCCAACAGGGCTTCTGTTCAGCATAGTCCAGCCACATTTTTATCCTTTTTTGAAGGTTAAAGTCCATTTTTGAGGACCATTCTATAATCATTGTACTGAATAAGTTAGCAATTATATATTCTTTTGAGGGATAGAAAGATCTGAGTGCCTTTTTCTGATTTCTGCATTTTCTTTTTGATATTTATACTGTTACAAATTTTCCTGCTGTTTGTACCCACCATTAGTAATTTCCCTTTTTATTTGTCACACTAGGCTGCTTATTATGAGTTTAGAATCCAGACAGCTGATTTAATTCTATGTAAAACAATAATATATAATATCTGGGTAAGATAGTTAAAGGTTTTTTGTGCAAAGTTAATAGTGCATGTACTATGTGACACTTAATTTTGGTGTGCTCTCTATATTCAAATTGTGGATAAGAATGTATTGGTATGAAGTTAGGAGCTAATTTGTTATAGCTATGTTTATTCATTTATTTGGGTAACTAAGTAGATACTCTTAACAGCTCAAAAGCATTTTACTCAATTTATGTAAAAAGAAAAAAGAAGCAAATAATGATGCATTTGTTGTGTTTCTTATTCACACATAGTATTGCTGTAAGAGTCATGTTCAAATTAGAGACCAAACAATCTTTAAGGAGTGAAAGGAGTTATTTTTAATATATCTAAAGAGAGAGAGACTGTAGAGGGAGTACTGCTGATAAATGTCCAATAATCAGGAAGGATGTCAAGGAAGGAGCTGATGAAGCTCTGGGATACTTACGAAAAGGAAAGTTTTATGGTTGAAGATACAGATGCATAGACAGTTTACAGTAGGCACAGACTACAGCAGACATGACTGATACAGCACTAAGAAAATCTACATTTTTACAGGCATCTTTTTGACATTGGAAAGAGGAATAAGACATTCCCATTTATAAGGATCTGTTACTAAACATTATTAGGAAAAAGGTCAGATGCGGTGGCTTATGCCTGTATTCCCAGCACTTTGGGAGGCCAAGGCAGGTGGGTCACTTGAAATCAGGAGTTCGAGACCAGCCTGATCAATATGGCGAAATCCTGTCTCTACTAAAAATACAAAATTTAGCTGGGTGTGGTGGCGCGCACCTGTAATCCCAGCTACTCGGGAGTCTGAGGCAGGAGAATCACTTGAACTCCAGTGGCAGAGGTTGAAGTCAGCAGAGATCATGCCATCACACTCCAGCCTGGGCAACAGAGGGAGACTCTGTCTCAATAAATAAATAAATAATATTAGGAAATAAAATTAAACATAAATATTTTAACTTTTGAGTCTTGTGATAACAGATGTTTAAACAGTAAAATCTCACATCGTCATCTCCCTGATGGCAGGGTTCATGGGATTTATCTTAAATCACAGATTGCTTCAAAGCTCTATCTTATATAAATGTTCCTAGTCAGTTCCTTTGAATAGTTATTTTATTTAGCATAATTTTACTAATTAAAAAAAATTGAGTTAATTAAAACTTGTATTACACAGATATGGCTTTATTTCATCTTACAAATTTCATTATAAAGAGTGCTGAAGTGGCCATTCTTTTCCTAGCTTTACTGTAGAAACACTTCTGAAATATTTTAAGTCAAAGAGCTGATAAGATTGATAATGTAACATATATAACCGTTTATGTTTTTCTTTGTTTTTGTCATTGTAGACATTTTGGAAAATGGAAAGCTGAGGTTGGTAGGTGGGCTGGGTGATGATATCTACAAAATAAACCCAAGTTCTTCTTTTTTTTTTTTTTTTTTTTAAAAAAAAACAGTCTCACTCTGTCGTCCTTGCTGGAATGCAGTGGTATGATCATGGCCCACTGTAACCTTGAATTCCTGGGCTCAAGCAGTCCTCCTTCCTCAGCCTTCTGAGTAGCTTGGACTACAGGCATGAGTCACTGCACCTGGCTAATTTTTTTTTTAAATGGTTTGTAGAGGTAGGGAGTCTCACTATGTTGTCCAGGCTGGTCCCAAACTCCTAGCCTCGAGCAATTCTCCTGCCTCAGACTCCCAGAGCACTGGGATGACAGGCAAAAACAACTGTATCTAGCCCCTACGTTTCTTTTAAGTAGTTGAAAAAACAGTCCTGAATGAATGTAGTTTGTAAGTTGACAAAAACAATGTGTGTGTGAATAAACATATATTCCCAGCAAAAAATGTGTTACCATCTTCAGGCCTTTTAAGGGGTAAGTGATGTTTTGCCTTTTTGTGAAAACTTCTATTTAAGGGTTCTCTTTTGAAGAAAAAAAAAGAAAAAAATGAAATGTCATAATCAAAGGAGTTTATACCCTCTGAAATAATGAGTTGTTGTTATATTATTGGTTGTTTAGCCCTGTTTTGTATTTACTTATATACATAACTGTAAGAAAAAAGACATAGGGATTATGAATCTCATATGAATAATTATTTGGAATACTGTTATAAATTCCTGATCATTTCTTAAATGAATGTTGGGGTTTTTATTAGCAGATACATGGTCTAGTTATTTTATAGCATACAGCAATTCTTTGCAAACAGTTTACATATTATTTACAGGTAAATATGTCTGCCCTAAGTATACACACTTGCAATTATGTAGGTAAAAATGAGGTCTGGATACCAGTTAAATTTAGAAAATTGTGAAACTCATTTAAATTTAGAACCTTTAGGGGTCAGTGTTCCCTAAGAAAGGTTACAAAAGGTTACTGTGCCTACCAGAATTAAATATTAAATCTGCTATATTTTAAATATATATATGTATATTTTACCAATTTAAGGTAAGAAATGATGAGAATTATACCTTGAAAAAGCTTTTGACCAAAACCTTTCAATTTAATGGCTTTGTTCAATATTGTTTTTAGGATTATTATTTGTGGGGATCATCATATGTAATATATGTTTTACACACAAAGTAGTTATTTTTACTTATGTATTATCTAAATTTAGATCTAGATTACATATTTTAATTAATCTTTAAGCTTAAAAAATGATCATGATTCTAAGTCAGGAATCATTGTGCTTATTTGAAATAAGGTGAAAAACACTTCTAGAACTGCTGTGTAAATAGAATTCTTACATTTTTAAGTTTATTGGATGCTAATAAATATTTAAAAATTTTTTATCTTACTGAATTTAAGTTAAAAAAGTTGTCATCTTTATTTTAGAATTGAACTAGTAAGTATCATTTGTATCCATGATTCTTACAGTTTTTCTATAAAGCACAGTAACACAAATATTTTTTTAAATAAATGAAACTTAACGAAAGGTAACTTGCAAGTGGTTAGTTTCTTGTTTAGTCAGAATAATGTTTATTTGTCCTTGGCGTTTTGAACATGTGTGCCATCATCAACCTCTTGTATTATTGATTCATTTATCTTTCTGTCTGTTCACAAAGTACATGTTCTTTTTTACCTTTTATCCATCTGCAATTCTGTAATTGAATTATAACTAAAACTATTGCATGATTTGCAAACAAATTGTAAGTGTAGACACTGAAGAACCACTGTAGGAAAACATCATTGATGCTTTTAAATGTTGTTGATCATTATGACTAAAATATGATTGTAGAATCTCATATCACTTTCATAAACTATTTTATGTTTAAGGCAGAGAAGAAGGAAATGACAAATTGCTTAAACTGGACATTC